TTTAAAGCCCCCGATATAGAGCCCCGCTATATACTGAGCTTTGGGTCACAGGAGAAGGTTAGTATATGTCCTCCCATGACCCTAAAGAGAACTATGGGATAAAAAGGTTACCCCATAGCTATCTTTTAAAGCCTACCACCAGCCAAAACATTTTTGTTAGTTTGGACAAAGTGAAGAATGGTTAGAACCCCTGTTTCTAGCTGAAGGATTTCCCCTAACCCCCTGTAAGGACAGAAAGTGACACTGACATAACCCCTTATGTGTTACAATTGTGATGTTGCTCGGATGTTTGGCTCATCTGTTTTTTGTGTTTCAGTAATCAGGTACTCATTTGCTATGTGATATAATAAATGAGGGGTCACTTACCTATATATACCGCTCTTTATTATTGCTGAATTGCAAAAAAAACTGTATATTTATTGATGTTTTTAATCTACAGAATACCTCCTATTCTTCTTGAGAAAGCATACAGCGAAACGCGTTGAGGAACTGGGTGACCCCCCAATTGGAGGAATCACTACATTTGAGAGTTTAGACTCCATGACAACATAGGGTTGTTTTGTGATACATGATTTCTTCCTCCTTTTTATCAGGGGACCCGGGAGGTATTAGCTGATATATGTTAGAAGTCAATATATATGGATCACAAGCAATTGTAACAGACATTTTTGTAAAACTTTTTAATGTTTTTTAACTTTGAAATAAAACTATTTAAACTTATCAATTGTGTGATGTTGTGCCTTAAAAACTAGGAATGCACTGATACTGATACTATTATCGGTATTGGTGCCAATACCAAGTATAAGGGCTAGTGCTCATACTCGCCCAAATGCTCCGATGCCTAGCCCGATACCCGAACTACCTGTATCAGGAAGCCGTGCAGCAAGTCATTACATGCTGCCCGGCTTCCTGATTGGCCAGGAAGCCGAGCAGCGTGTAATGACTCGCCACCTAGCTTCCTGATTGGTCGAGAAGCAATCCAATCAGGAAGCCAGGCGGGGAAGCATTATCACCCCCCCCCGGCTTTACGATAATAGTATCGGTATCGGTGCATCCCTAGTTTTTAAGGCACAAAATCACACAATTGATGAGTTTAAATAGTTTTATTCCAAAGTTAAAAACTGTGGAGAGGAAGCATGGAGACAGCTTCCCTGCTAATCGGGAAGCTGGGTGGCGAGTCTTTACAGCCTGCCTGGCTTCCCGGCTAATCAGGTAGTCAGGTGGTGAGTCATTACATGCCACCTAGCTTCCTTAATGGGACTTCCGGTATCGGTATTGGCGAGAACCGGGAAAAAAATATTGGTACTCTTAATCAATACCGAAAAAACGGTAGTGGTGCATCCCTATTAAAACCCTTTTTCCATTTTTGTTTATTAACGATTTTTGGGTGTGGCACCATTGGATAGAGGTATCACCATTGCACTATAATAATAAGAGAGTGAGGAAGGCTTCTGACAGTGTTTTTATTGGTATCTGACCAACTGATACCCACATCCCACAATTTTTTGTACAAGTGTCATGTGAACAGGATATTAGGAAAAAATTTCCCCAATAGAATTTTAACTCTTTTTTTAAAATTTATTTCAAATGACAGTTTAAAAAGTTAGGCTTTAAACAATTGGATCGATATGAGTATGGTCAGCATTAGGATGCCAAAATTGAACTAAGGTCACTCCGAGAACAAAGGGTGGAAGAGGATATGCCCCTTCTCACACCCGCTGTAATCCACCGCACCGCTGAGCTGAACCAATTTATTTGTGGTTGAACACTTTCTTTCTCCTTTCTCAATAAGAGGAGGAAAGGATTAACCCCATCAACCCTACCCTAATTTTTTACATCAAGCTGCAATTTATCTGTGTGCAACAAACAGCAGTTATGACAGATGGAAGCACTCATTACTGCCATCTTACATGGCTACATTCATACCTGATCATGGTCTCAGAATCTGCAATGTATTGCCAAACCTACTGTTCAAACTAACATGCCTAGTCCCACAAAGATAGTAATATGTGTGTGCAGGGGCATCCCTAGCATGTTTCACCACCTAAGGTGGCGGGGAGGGGGTGCTAGTAGCGAATGCTGGAAGTGTGGCCTCTGCATCATCTGGCAAACAGTGATGTCACTGGTTCTTAAGAGCTGAGTGGGATGCTAGCCAGTGCGTCCTAGGTTGCTAACAGCTGGGTGGGGAGATATGTATGTAAACAAGCTGTAAAATACCTGTTTCTCCTGCAAGAGAAGCTAACATAATGCAGCTTCCTGTGATGTGGCAACAATGCTGCACTGCTCCAGAAGTCAGAGCAGAGTTGCCACTCATGTAGACTGTGCCTGCTTGTACTATAGGATTACACAATGTTGCAGAGGGCATGGCTGTCAGTATTGTCACTGCTGATTCACAGGCCTGTAGATCATGAATCAGCACCTAATAACGCCTAGTCCTGCCCACTGCATTCTGGTTTGACAATACTGTCTCTGTTGCTGAAACCCTCCCACTGTGAGCTGCAGTGTCTGAGAGGGGGCATGTGAGATACAAATGAAGGAGGATTGGGCTCAGTCAGAAAAGGTAAAGGTAGTTTCTTGTTTAATTTATTAGGCTTGTGCATCACATAGCAACTGGACTTGGGACTTGTTTAGTTATACAGAAGCTTAAGTTCTAAAGAAGATAAGGAGCAATATGTGAAGTGCAGAATTCCACAATGGCCAGTCATCAATGTTTTACTCTAGACTTGCAAAAAAGTGAAATCTGGTTGCAACTGGACTTTGCACATCATCATTACTCTTTCCACTACTTTTAAGCTTATGCTATATCAGCAGTAATCTGTGTGATGCTCAAGTCCCTGTTCACACCCAAGTGTTCTGTGAACGTGCACAAAACTGCACCCCATGCGCACGCTTTAACGCTTGTTCATGGAATGCGTAAAAAACATGCAATGTGCTTGTGGTGCCATTATATGTTAATAGCACCCCGAATGTGGCCATGCAAATGCGTTTTTCCCCGCTGGTGAACACGCATTAAAATGCACATAAACGTGTAGGGAAAAAACACAGGACACATGTAGCCGATTCTGCTAAATGGATAACCTTCTCACGTTTGTCGCGTGTGCGGCACCCATTTACATCAATAGGAATATGCGGCAAACATGGGAAACAAACGGCTGCAAACGCACAGGTATGCGCGTCACCATGATGTGCATTCCTGCCATGCAAAAGTGTGAACAGGGACTTAAGGAGTTTTCATTAGTCATCTAAAGTGGAATCCTGCTTTAGTGTGAAGTAGAAAAAAGGAACATCTTTACCGTACTACCTCTGCAAGCTGTAGACAATATCGGGTAGTATCAATGCAGTCAATATTTGGTGGAGTGACACAGACATACTATGGTAGTATACCATTGTTAATAACCTGGAGATGTCTTTATAGTAGTGTAGCCCCTATCACCTTTTGTGAGGTGCCTACTAGAAATTTAGTGATTGCTAGGGCTGTAGTCAGTCTGGCTGGATTATAGTTGGCATTTATCTGGTTAATTCCAGGTGTCTGGCATTGACTATACCAGCTGAGTGGAGTGTGACTCTGCTGTATTGTGGGGCAGCCAATGAGGGACACTGTGAGTGTACTGTATGTACAGTTCAGCACCTAATCACTGGGTTTCTCTCAACCAGTGTTGCATGCTGGGATATGATACATATACTGGAGGGAATTGCCATGTGCCTAGTCTAGTTCGGGACCAGCCATGGATTACTCCAGGTTGGGGTGCTGTCCAGCCTGCTAACCCCCGCCCCTCCCCCCCCAGACTAGGCCTGAGGCCCGTGGGTGGGCAGATGCTGGAGTGCGGGAAGAGTTGTTTCACTAGGCCTCAAGGATGGAGGAGGCCTGTGCTGTTGTCAGAGGAGGAGAACCAGGGAAGATGATGGCTACTGGAGGTGCCTGGAACCTAGAGGACCTCAGGAGTAAGTCTGGTGTCTCTCCTGCTGAGCATTTGTGTTCATTCTCTGTTCATCTGCTACTCAAATTACTATTTGCTGTACCACAATGGATTTACACTGAGATTCTAAAAAGGTCTGGTGAGTGTGCCTGTAATTGGTGAGGGTGCTCTCCGCACACCTTTCAGCAGTCCCGGCCAGTAGAGATAGGGTGCTTGCAGTAACTCAAAGCATAAGTGTGTTTCCAGCCTAAATTCAGAGCTGTCTAGTGCACACTTCCTGTGTTATCTCAAAAAGCCTAATTAATCCTTCCCAGTTCTTATCTTGAGACTACTGAACAATTAGCCTTTATGTTGTGAAAAATAGGATAGGGTGATGTTTTGAGTAGTTTAGCCAACTGGGTAGGGCTGACATCACTAACTCCACAAATATGCTGTGTGTTGTCAGCCCATAATAGGAATTAGGAGCTGAGATCAACTGATGTTGGTATTTTTCTGTAAAACTGGGGAAATGTGCATGAACTGTAATAATATAGTGCATATGGATTATTTTAAATGATAAATTTACATTATAAATTATATTAATAGAACAGTGGTTCTCTATAGATGCAGCTTTCTGTAGATTTTCTTTTACATAGCAAGAGTAGTACTCTTTAAATAGTAACATCGGTACATTATCAATATCTATTGTTTGGCAGTGTATGGACTTATGAAACAAAGATGGCCAAACAAATAATTACAGCAATAACTATCAATCATTATACCTGTGAATCATTTTGTTCTTAAAATAGATTATCGCAAATAACAAGAAAGAAATGCATATATTGATCATTATTAATACAATTTCCCAGAATACATTTAAATAGGCCTCTAGCAAATATTCCGTGTGTTTAAAACACTGATCATTAGAAGTGAATCCCTGTGTATATTCCAGAAACTCCCCCGCCCCCCCCAACTTTCTGTCTTTCAGTTTCATGCTCCATGTCCCTTCCATGGTGACATCCTAGTTCCCCTCCTCTTTCACGCTCCCTGCTCCTCTCTCAAGCTCTTTAGATTATTAACTTCCTGAGCAACACAAACCAGTTCTACAACTTTCTGTCTGGCAGGCTCATCCAAAGCTCACAGATGATAGAGAGACAACAGGCAGGAAGGACAGCTGATCACTTTATTTGAGTGCTTCAATGGGCCAGCAAGTGGACTTGGATGGTGAGCCAGTGTCTGCCTGAATAGAAGCATCTAGCAGACATGAATGCCATGGCAATTGCAGTAAACAACACGCAGACATAAGATCCTCATTACCGTTTTAATCAGGCATTGTATCTGCCAATGTTCAGTTTTGTTTGTTTCCTGTGGTTTACTGTAATTATAAGGCAGTGCTTTTCTGTGTGCCTCCATGATGTTGTACAGAGAGAGACTCAAGTGGTGTCTCCCCCTGATGCCTTTACCCAAGCTAGAAGACTAGTTAGCCGTGCCACAACATGGTCACCTCATTTACCACTTAGGGTGACTCCTTGGTACTTGCCAGGTGAAAGTGCCCTTCTAACTCCACCACAAATGTCCCAACTGCAGACAGCCATGAAAGAAGTGACCAAGACCATCGGCAGCATGTTATCAGGTGAGACACTGACTAAAGTACAATACAAGAATAATTGTAGGATAGAAATTCTCAGCCCCTGAATTTACAGAACATCAGATGATAATGAGTCTGCTTCTTTTAAGATGTTGGTAATTAACACCTTAAAAAACATGAATTAGCTTTTACCAGAATGTTAAGAAACATGCCCCATTGGTAGCCACTGAGGATTAAAGCTGAGCTGTATGAAGTTCTTTATTCATTTCTAAAAAGAAAATTCACCCTAGTTTAATAATATGACGAGAAGTCCACTATATTTAGCAGGTTCCATTGTTACCCTTTCCTACAGTAAGTAGGTATATCAACAGCCCTATATAATTTGTTATCTATCTGGCTCAAGGTCATTCTCTTGTGTGCAGCTTCCCGGAAAGATATAAAACTGTAAAACATACATACATATGCATATTTTTAGACAATGTAGATAATTCCATAGCAATGCACATTTGCCACCCATGTATGAGTTATCAGTAAAACAGCATACATACATACATACATACATACGCATATTTTTAGACAATGTAGATAATTCCATAGCAATGCACATTTGCCACCCATGTATGAGTTATCAGTATAACAGCATGCATACATACATACATACATACATATTTTTAGACAATGTAGATAATTCCATAGCAATGCACATTTGCCACCCATGTATGAGTTATCAGTATAACAGCATGCATACATACATACATACATACATATTTTTAGACAATGTAGATAATTCCATAGCAATGCACATTTGCCACCCATGCATGAGTTATCAGTATAACAGCATACATATGTATATGTTTAGACAATGTAGATAATTCCATAGAGATGCACATTTGGAGGGAGAGAGAGAAAAATACACTTTTAAAGAAATGTTTGTATCTTGCAGTCTCTAGACGGGAAGGACCATTACTCCTCAATCGTGATATGAACAGATATTGTCGCTCTGTCTGGGGCGATCCCTCGCTTCTCAACTATAAAAGGTGAGTCAAAAGTTTCTGCTCTTTTATTCTGCTGATTTTGTCAGAAAATGAATTGCCATTCCTACTAACAACTGAAAATATAAACATAAATACTATACACAGAACCCAAGTTATCATTAGGCACTGTAGACATGTGCCTATAGGTGGCAGAAGCAATGAGTGATCTTTTCCTTGTATCTTTATTAGCAATACTTTTTTTTAATCAGCACAAATAATCGCCCCATATAAGTTTACTTACTGATTATTGTAATATTTTGAGCCTGGTTAGGACCAGCAAAACAAGCAACTGTTTTTAGTGATATCAACAGAGGGGAGTAGAGTGTCACAAGTTGTGTGTGCCTACAGGCACGAAAAAACTATTTTCAACTGCTTGCCTTAAAAAATTTTGTGTTTCCCATAAAGAAAATCATATTTGCTTTTATTTTTTATTATGGTCTAGATCCCTGGTACCTAATTTACAGCCCACCCATCCATGTTCCGGGCTGAGCCCACCACCTGTGGGGTTCCGGGTGCTGGGATGCTCTTTGCGTTACCGCACCCAATACTGAATTAAAGCCAGTACTGTCAGATGGAGTGATTGATCTCTGTCTGACAGAGTAGAAGTACAGTCCTGGCCATATGGGGAGGGGGGGTTAAAAAACCCTGCCACTGACCACCAATATGTGTTGGGGGGGGTGGGGGAAGGGATTATTTATCACTGCCACTGACTACCAGTGTATGTGTGGGGTTAACAGCAGTGCTGTTGAAGACCAATGTAGGCAGGAGGGGGTAATTAATCCTGTCACTCACCACCAATGTGGGGTTAAGGGCTAATAGCAGTGACTATGGCCACCAAAGAAGAAGGATTTGAATAGCACTGCTACTTAGCACTAATGAAGGGGGGTTTAAATAGCACTGCCACTGACTACCAATAGGGGGGTTCTTATTGCAGTCACTGACACCAATGCTGGGGGTTATTATCACAGTCATTGGCACCAATGCTGATGGTATTATTGCAGTCACTAACACCAATGCTGGGGGTTATTATTGCAGTCACTGGCACCAATGCTTTGGGTTACTATTGCGGATACTGCCAGTAAAGCTAGGGGCTATTACTGTGGCGAATGACAATTGCAGGGGGATAGTATTGCAGCCACTGACATCAATGGTGGGAGATATTACTGTTTTTACTGACACAAGTGCTGGGGGTAACTATTGCAGACATTGACACCAAAGCTGGGAGTTACTCTTAGTGCCACTGACACCAAGGAAGGGGCTTATTCTACTCCCACTTTCACTTCAGAGTGTATTGCTTTAAAAAATACAGCAGGATTAACATTTCCAGGCATTGTGGTTCATTACAGCCCATTCATTTTAAATTGGCTGCTTAACTTGATGCAATGCATCAATGTATGAAAAACAGCCACCATTGTGCGGCTTTCTGGAAGAGTTAGGGACTGCATGGGTGACCTGCTACAATTTTCAAGCTGACCATCACTGGTCTAGACTAATAACAGCTGACATAGGATCTGTTCTTATAGGCAACGATTCAGCATTATTTTTATATACATGAAACCCTGATAACCAGTATGTTCCATGCAATGTACTATTTCTGATTGTGTATGTTTCTCCCTCAGGTGTGGATCTCCAGACAACTCTTACCATGGAGAAAGATGTCTAGATGTCTTGGTATGAGAGTTGGAGTGTTGATAACACTGACACTATCAGTTCATAGTGCATGTTTTAATATATCTATGTTTCTAGATACCAGATTCCCATCTCTATGGATATGAAGTGTGGCCAATGAATGGGACAGAACCAATTCATAGAACACTAGATGGGGCTGGTGTTCCTGATACAGACTTCTTGCTATATGTGAGGGTGGCCCAGACAAAAAAATGTGCCTTACAGGTAAGAAATACAAAAAAGTATGGTTCTTCACTCTAAATTTAAATCTTGCAGTGTCATGCCACATCACTAAACATTATGATCTCCGAAGAGGGTGGGGTATTCTATATGAGTGCCATATTCCTGGTGGAGAGCCTCATGCAGTTGTTATGTCCCTTGCATGGACTCAGTAAGCCAGCCTTATATCTGCTTTAAATTTACAAGAGAAACATTAAAGGATATATATGCCCAAAAACTACAAAGAAATATGTATTTCCATAAGTTCTATCCCACCCCTAATAACCATATTGATCTAGAAGTTTGGAAACATACTTATTGAAGATGCCCACTTGCATTGTACTTCCTCAATGCGTTGACACAATTTCACTCAGCACTGTGAATTGGCATGTCCTTGTGTCACACAATGTAACATCATCATTGCTTGCTGGAAGCAATGCATGATGGGCTATGTAGTCTTGAAAAATTGAGATTGCATCACGTCAAGCAGCAGGATAAGTGATGCGAAGCACACTGGGAATCCAGGAAGTTGATGAAAGTGATGGGCAGACAGAAGTCAGCACTCACTATATAAAAGGTATTTTTTTTCAAGCAAGCATTGATTGCAATATTAAAAACAACTCTAATATGTATTCCTATCACAATGCTGATGTTATAACAGGATAGTGTATGCTGGGACTTTACAAAATTTTGACTGGACTTATGCAGGCCTGGGGACTCATGCACATAGATGTGGTGACCAGAAACATTGAGAAATGTAAAGATCTGTTGACTTTCATTGTCCAGCATCTGTAAAAAAAAAAAAAAAATCTAATAGTTTTAGATGAAATGGCCCTTTAAAAACCTCCACATGGGTTTATTACTATAATAGCATTGTTTTGCAAGAAAGTTAGATTTGTGTCTGGTATTAAAAATCCACTTTTTTCAGATCTATTATAAACTACCAACAAATATGTTTAGGTAAATAATTGAAAAATCATATTCAGAATAATTCATTCTAATGAGAGACAACACAACATCTGGGAACCTGCACTAACTTACTGGTTTTCATAAATAACTGCGCACCAATGAGATGGCAAATAATGATAGTGGCTCAGGGACTTGGAGACCTTCAACCAAGCAATTCCCCTACCTAAATTATGTTGTAGAAAAATGTGAATACATCCATGGTAACCATGGAACATTTTATACACGTAGCTCCCTCTAGAGTGTATCTGTAGTTATGTTTCAACACATGTCTGATCAGTCTGGCTTGAGTTCAACATAATCCTGTTCTGTTGCCTATTTTTATATGGTACATAATTGAAACCTAGTTTGCCCCTGTTTTGTAAGTGGGGTACATTTCAGAAGCTCTGACGATATAAATTCTAGTTTGTAGTAAAGCATGTTATTTTGGTGTTGTATTTTTCAGCCCATCGTTATTGCCTACGCATCGTACTGTCAGCTGGACCACGCAGGTCGTCCTATTGCTGGGGTCATTGTGTTCTGCCCAAAGCGTCTTAGAGAAGTAGTAAACCAGCATCCTCACATTGTACAGGTATGACAGCTACAGCCCATCACTTTTTCAAAATGTTCTCAGTAAGTTTCCGATGAGCACAGTTTGTCACATAAGCCCCTACTCCAAAAAATGATATGTCTCTGTAAAGTCTTTCAGAAACCTAGCTACTTCATGTCTCTAACTACCAAGCCCAGATACAGAAATGGTAGGTCTGGGTAAAATAAATTAAAAAAACATTTTTTAGTACATGTCTGCAACACGATAATTTCCTCATGTTTTATTCCTTTAATAATGTACAGAAAAATACCTGTTGATCTGCCAGAAATCTAGTGAGCTCCTTACTTCTTGTTTGAGCTAACAACACAGTGCCCGTGGCATTAAAATTCCAAGAGTATGTGTCAGCCCTGCCTGAGTTCTCCCCTGTTGAACTACAGAACTACTTCCCCCTGCTTTATCTACATAACACAAGGGCTGATAACACTGCATGGGATTGCAATGCAGAAGGGGCACTGTGTTGCCAGTTTAATATAGGAAGTTAGGAGGATATCTGGTAGATCAACATAATGTATTTTTTCTACTTGCAGAGTTTTTCCAAAGACAAAACAATGGGAAAAGTGCGTGTATTGAAGAGGGGAATTTAATATGTTTTTTTCTTTTTTTACCCAGATATACTATTGAAAATGTAGATACTGGGAATAGCTCCCCAGTAGCTGGCAACAAGTCAGTGCTAAGTAGGACTAAACCAGGTTAAAAAAAAAAAATTAAGCTTCCTTGATCCTACATGAGCTGTGCCGTTAATCAGCATGATGTATGTACGATGGAGGATTGTATGGTAGCTGTTTTCCAATTACAAGGAAAATAGGTAACATGTTAACTGATGATATTAGGTGACTTTGATTGTTGCTCACTTCAAAACGCTCATTAATTATTCTGGCATTTCTCACTTAGGTCACTTCAAAGCCAAATGTAATACATTTATCATGCAAAATAAGCAGCATAATTACTGGTCGTTGTGACAACTTATGTTGGTTTTACTGTTTTTATGTGTTTTTGCCTTCCATGCCTTCTAAATCTTGCTGTGTTTCCCACACCAGGTGTCCCTACATGAGATCCTTCATGCGCTGGGATTCTCTAGCAGCCTCTTTGAGAAATGGATAGACTGCAGTTTTTCAGAATATGGTAATAATGATACTCATTTATGTTCCATTCAGCCTTAAAGAGAACTATGGGACGTTTTTTGGCATTAGTTTTCTTTTGGGTCACAGGAGGACATTTACAAATGCCTTCCTGTGACCCAAAGCTCAACATATAGCAGGCTATTGCCGGTTGCATGCTGACAGCTCAGAGCCGCACTGCAGCCAGGAAAGATCCTGACAATATTGTTGGGATCCACCCCACTACCTGATTGACAGCTGGCTCTGCCTCTCTAGAGCCGGAGCGATTTGTGCCCGCCCCCTCCCCTGTCTGTCCCTCCAGTCAGCACTGGAGGAATAGAGAGAGGGAAGGGGGAATCCCTGCAGGGAGTAATGACTGACAGCCACCACTCTCTGCAGGGAGAAGACCATGAGCTGAGCAATCAGCGGTTTGTGATCGCTCAGTTCCCAATCAATAGCTTCAGTGCCACATGTCAGCTCTACCTATGGGAATCTGTGCATTTCACTCTCCCTAATGTTTCCTTAAGGGGTATTTCCACTTTTGCAGTTAAATTTGAGGAACTCCCACTATATCTTTGTTATGAGATCCCATTCACACAGCATATAAAAAATAATAATAATAATAAATATGCACTTTTTTTTTTACACACAAATTATATATAAAATCCTGCTCAGGTGCTTCCGGTAACAATGCTAACAACCTGGAAATAAAGGACCTCCCCTGCGGAACAATACGCATGGCGAAATTCAACATACCTAATAACGACTGCAACTCCCTCCTGGAACACACTGTAGACACCACCAGTAAGTGCAAAGCATCCCTGATCCTAACCAGCTTTTCCAGTGGCAAGCTTGCTTGCATGGCACTTGTATCCAGGATGATGCCCAGAAACGTCAGTACCCTCAGAGGCCCTTCAACCTTGTGGCTAGCCACCGGGACGTTCAGCACCTTGAACATATCCAACAAGCCACCGAGGTCCCCAGGTACCCTCTCTGGTGACTCAATCAGCAGGAAGTCATCCAGATAATGCAAGACCCTTTGACAACCTACCTGATGTTCTAAAATCCAGTGAAGAGTTTGTGCGAACGTGTCAAATAACCATGGGCTACTCTTTGACCCGAAGGTCAGTTTGACAGCAAAATAATATAGCTCCCTCCATTTCACCCCATGCCATTGCCATAATGACTGCTTGATAGGCAACAGTTTGAATGCGTCCGAGATATCTGCTTTAGACAGCCAAGCCCCCATGCCCGCCTCGATGATGTACTGTATCGCCTCATCCACCGAGGAATATTTAAGGGAAAATTCCTCCGATGGAATCAATGAATTTAAACTCGGGATATGTAAAGAATGCGGAGCTGACAAATCATAAATCAATCGATATTTATTGGAGAATTTGCCACATACCAGGCCAATGGGGTTGACCCTCCATGATGAAAAAGTGCCGAACCCCCCGATGTGGGGAACACTACTGAATCGTGAACCGCTAGCCCGGCATATGGCAACGTGCTGTACCTGTGAACTAGATGCAAGCCTGTGGCCACCCCCAGTGACAGTACCACCCACCCCTACTAACTATCCGTCAGTAACTTGTCCTGTGGCTACACAGTGATTTACTTTAGCTCAGCCACCAACTGACTGACTGGAGTAATAGTAGGTCGCACAGCAGCCAGACTGGTGAGCCAATGCTGGAGAAGCAGAGAGAGCTGAGAGGAGGTGTGGGTTGTTGCTGAAAGCCTGGATTAAGGGTAACTGGAGGTGTGAAAAGAGATGGGAAGACAGACTGGGCTTCTGTAATGTAACAATTTCCTGTTTGTTGTCACAGTTTAGCACTATGTGACAGATACCAGTTGCTGCTTGTTTAGTGGACATTTATTTTAATCTCCTTCAAGCCTGTCTCCACACCCTAAAACTCAAAAAACTAAATTTTGGCATCACCCCCAATTTGAGCTCCACTGTTACTACCTACAGTGACCAGTGGCATACGAAGTGCTCCACTTCTGCAGAGTCTCAGGCTCATGGAGTTCTGAAGATCATAGATTTAAATATAATATTCAAATACTCTCATTTTGCTGCATTTTTATATGTACTGGACAGCGCAGAAAATTGCAAAAGGCATTTTAACCAGAAAGCACTTTTGGTCTTATACAATAATGTGTTCTAAGAACTGAAGCCACAGTATTTGCCCACAGCCACCAATCAGATTCAGACTTTTAGGGCTAGTCTGATGTTGATTGGTAGCTGAAGAGAAATAACTCCAGTTTTTAGTAAAAATACACTGAGCAGCCAGATTATTATGACCACCCCATCAATACTGTGTTGGGCCACGAGATGACTCCACGAGATGACTTTGTTGGGCCGCCTCGTGACTCCACGAGATGTTGAAAGGTGATGCGAGGAAGCTGACACTGCACTGTTGCCCTTCTGTTGTCTTGTACCAGTCTTGCCACTCTCCGTTCTGCCCTAACATTGACTTGTCGCTGACGGCCACAATTCGCACATTCAGACCCACGAATTCTGCTGTTTTGCTGATACTCGCTCCATGGCTCGCGCCAACAATCATCCCACGTTCAAAGGCTGTTAAATTGCATTGTTTACCCAAATCTTCAGAACAAAATCAGTTCTACTGTCGTGGTAAACAACCTGCTTCCCTATTTATAATGGTCTGGCCCTCTAGCAACTTCGGCGCTGTTTGATCTAATACATTGGCTGAGGTTTACAAGCAATGCTTAGGATATTGGATGATTGCTAACATGTAACAGATTGTTTAAGTACTATTTTTTCTTTTTTTAAGGCGATCTTTGCTCCTCACGATCCCGCGTGACAAACATAGATGAAAATGGTCAGCGCCGCATTTATACTCCAACTGTAATGCAGAAAATGGGGGAACACCTAGGTGTAGGCAGCACTGGGGCTCCCCTTGAGAATCAGGTGAGAAAAAAAGGGTATCGCATCTAAATCATAATATTAAAATACAGATGCTGTTATTTGCAGCATCTGCAAGCAGCTAAACCAAGGGCCTCATAAACTACTTTCTACAGACTTGGAAGATTATAGTTCACACGTTTAAATACCATAAGAACACAAATAAAATATATGAGAAACATTATTTATAATTTTTAGGCGCATACTATGGAACCTACAAAACACTTAAACATTCTACACCAGTGGGATCATAACCAACAGAGCCAGCAGAAATATGTACAGGCTACACAAATAAACGCCAGTCTTTAGTAGGGAAGACTGTTGTTCTACTGACCTGGAACAACAGTGCAGATCAGAAGTACTGACTTCACTCTGGCTGTACTTGTTGTTATATAGAGTGTATTTCCACTTTGCACCCAAATTGGGATAACACCTAATTTATATTTGTTACATGTTCCCATTCGCATAGCATTATCTAAAAAAAGGTTTTAAAATTATTATTGCATTTATTTAAATTGATTTTACTTGGGTTAGGGTTTCTTGGCTTCTTAAGGGTTATCATTTTTTACTTGCTTCAACTTTTTGTAATGTTAGGAGGGGCTGTGAGGGGTTTGTTAACCCTGTCTGTACTGTGCTGGCTCATTTCATTAGAATTCGTAAAGTAGATTTGAACACAGCCTATCCTAACAAAGGCTTGAAGGATTACAACCCTGGTTTCTGCATTGTATGTTCATGAAAATTAAGATAATGAGAGAAACACAATCCTCAGTCCAAGTCTTTATATAATGACAGGTCACTACAAAGGGGCTGAAAAAACACTCGATTCAGCCATGTTGCCTGCGGCAACAAAACTTCTAAACAGTAATAAATATTTTTTTTAAGAATATTTTTCTTTATGCTGTGTGAATGGGAACAGGCAACAAACATATAGTGGGGTTTTATCTAGGGATGCACCTATACCGTTTTTTTGTTATCGAGTATGAGTACCGGTATTTATCTTTTTCGGTACTCGCTGACTTCCCGGCCAATCAGGAAGCTGGGAGCTGACTTCCCGGCCAATCAGGAAGCTGGGCGGTGTGTCATTACCTGCCGCCGGGCTTCTTGATTGCCCGGGAAGCCGGCTCTATGGAGGAAATATCCCTCTGACCAGAAGTTCCGGTATTGGGGGTAAATATCGGAGCATTTGGCGAGTGCGAGTACTTGCCCAAATACTCTGTATTGGCACCGATCCAGATAATACTGTAGTATCAGTATTGGTGCATCCCTAGTTTTATCCAATTAGACTACAAACGTGGAAAGGGAGCGAGATCAGTGTTCAGTGGGCATTTCGGAAAGCTAGGACCACAGGAGAGACAAGTGTATGAGAACCCTGGTCCAACTATGTGTTGGTCCAACTGGTTTTCTATGTGCTGGAAGCACAGGGCTTTAATCTGTGCTGCAGCAGGTAGCTGATTACAAAAAAAAAAAGAGGCGTATTTTTTATTGTATATGCAGCCTGACTATGCTACAGTAATAAATTAAAAGGGTTCAATTGGGCTTTAATAAGAACAATGATGGACTAGTACTAAATTGTCATACTTTATGCATCTTTGTATATTTTTTACCCAGGCAAATAAAACCATTTACAACTGACCTCTAAAGTTCCATTTATTTCTACAGGAAAAATCAGCTTCCTCCCACTGGGAATCAAGAATCATGCAGGGATCAATTTTGACGGCCTCTATCAACCCTCCACACCTCACATTCCTGGACCCTATCACACTGGCAGCCTTCCAAGATATGGGGTGGTATAAGGTGAATTCAAGCATTAGTCATCAGCTTCTGTGGGGAAAAGGTGAGATTGTAAGGTGTAGAGTTGATTTGCTTCCAGCCATGTACTATATGATGATAATCTATGAATTGTGTTATAGGTGCTGGGAATTCTTTTGGCCTTCCTTCCACATGCCACAAAGCATCTGAATTTTTCTGCAAAAATAAGAGGTGACTGCTACTAATCATAGTATTGTTTCCTAATTTGCTATTAAAGTTGAACTACAAACATTTTTGTTTTTAATTTTGGTTAGCATGGAGAAGGGTTACAACCACTGTCTTTATCCACGTCTTTCCTAGCGATTAGTCAGGGCCGCTTTACCCAATGGGCAAAGTGGGCAACTGCCCAGGGCCCACTGTCACATTTAGGGCTCACATCCACTGCTTTCACTCAGTTCCTTGTGGCCACGCACATCGCCTGCCTGAGCTGCCTCCTGTCAGATCACTATGGCCATCCACAGTGCAATCTCTGGTTCTAATGACAGAGCGGGAGCCGAGCTGAAGAGAAGGAGACGGGGAGATGGCAAATGTGTGAGGAAGATCCATGAAAGACGCTCCGAACCTCAGCAGAGGAACTTCTGCCTTACTGTGTGTGGCCCTTAAGTTAGTGAGTGACCCTGCATGCTGCTGATTGTATATGGCACTGAGGCTGAGCAATCATTTATATGGGAATACATTATCATATAAAATAAACGATTGCTCAGTCATATACAATCACTAGAAATTCTAGTGATTGTATATGACGGAACAATTATTTATTTTATATGACAATACAAGTTTCTATTCCTTACATTGCTGAGCAATATAAATAGTAACCTGTAGGGATTCACCAACACCGATACTGGGCATTTTCACAAGTATTCCTACTTGTGAATATACCCCGATACCAAAAACTGATACACACTGATAGGGCACTTTAATTTTTCAAATTGAAATGGCTGCCTTAGGTCCTACACTTGCTGGGGACCTTGCGGCAGCCTTCTGGGAAATCTCCTTCTAGAAGACCCTCCGCACCCCTGCTGAGACCCTCCACACCGCTGCTGAGACCCTCCACACCGCTGCTGAGACCCTCCGCACCCCTCCTGAGACTTTCCTCACCCCTCCTGAGACCCTCTGCCCCAGACATCAGGCCGGAACCCCGGTACAGAGCAGCAGCACAGAGTATGTAGTAAATTCATATGCTGTTATTCTGCATTGCTCTATATTGTATTGTAATACTGTAATACTGCTATTGAGCTGCAATCTTTATTTTCACAGATAAAAAAAAAAGCCTTTTGGAGACCCACTGCCCGAGACATCAGGCTTGGGGGTGGACAATATACAATTTTTGGCCCAGGGCCCACCAATGCCTTGAATAGGCCCTGTGATTTTTGCCATCTAAATAGGAAGTTAGGGATAATTTGTCCCATGGGGCCACAGACAATAATAAACACACTTTTTTAAACAGGAAGGAAGGGTTACACTCTTTATAACGTTTTTGTTTCCCATTTTTCCTGCCCAAATGTTTGGTGCTACCAGGACAAGAATTATAAAACAAATCTTCCCAGCAAGAACACAGACAGCAATAATAAAAAAAAAACTACTAACAGAACTCCTAACTCTTCCATACTCTATACAGAATAAAAAAAAAAAGACTTGGCTGCAGTTCTGCTTTAACATGCAGTTATAACAATTGTATCTCATTAGTGACATTGGCTGCCACCATTTGCATCTGGACAAGGCTAACTGCTCCACTGACACATTCCTGGATGGATGTTATATTTATAAGCCACTCCCACAAGGGGTAAGTTTTAACATATAAAACTCTTGAGACAATGTACTGCTATGGGCTACAAATTTTTTTTTTTAATTTTGGCAGGGTGAATGCTGGCTGGAGAATGGCAGTGAAGGAACAGAAGAAATTTACCATCACCAGAGTCGTTGCTTCTTTTCAAACCTCACAAGGTTTCCAGAGGTAGCTATTTCCAATTTCGGGCAACATGCTGCTTTTTTGCACAACCCAATATATTGCCTTATGTCTAAGGAGCAACACTGACTAGGCAAGTCGTGTATAAGCAACAAAAAGACCCACTTATTACAAAGCCATATTTTTAGCCATTTTTCGGCTAGATAGAGATGTCCAGTGCATGGTCTCAGTGACTCAATTACCACAAGCCATACTAATTTTCTGCATTATTGATGTTTATCTAGTTTAAATTTCCTGAACATGTGTATTAGACAGGGGGCAGTGAGCAGTCCTACACAAATACCAAATTCAATGGAAAGGCCCCATTAAAATGGAACTATTAGTAACTGTAAATGCCTTAAATGTGACCATATTATGCAAAATTAAAAAGTCTATCTTTTATACGGGGGGAGGGCACTGAGGGGCAATCCATTATACGGGGGAGGGGGCAATCCATTATACGAGGGGGAGACGCACAGATAAACATTGATAATGTGTATACAATGTCGTGCAGAGAGGAGGTGTTTACCATAATGCGCTACTATGCACAGCACTGGTCTTTATCCAAGTTCGCTGTCTTCCGCCTCTTGATTGGCTGGGACTATTTAGCTCCTGCGCTTGCAATTGGGAATTACTGTTTCAGGACAGAACCATGCTGAGACTATGCACTGAGTTGCGCTTTGTGGCTCAGTGTACACAAATGCTGACTTAAGCTGGCCATACACCTTACAACCATCGCATGGTTGCAAGGTAATTAAAATCTCGTACGATCTGCCCATCTTGGACAGGCAGATCGTACTTGCGATCATCGCAAGCCCTCCCTGCTAAGGGGAGGGCTTGCGATGATTATAATGCTGAGCGGGCAGTGTGTGCTTGCGCACACCAGCCCGTTCGGTATTTGTCCTCCGAGTACGCCACTAACCCGCCGAAAGTTTCCAAGCCTGCTTGGAAGACAAAAGACGTACGACCGTACAGTAGAAACGGTTGCACGCCTTCCATACACCTGTCGATTATCGTACAATAATCGGCAGGTGTATGGGCACCTTTACAGAGTCTCTTCTGACATAAAAATCCTATCTTTCAGCATTTTTTCCCTTCTACTTTAAGTTGACCATACACTGCTCATGTAGTGCTGACTTGGATGAAATTCGAGCAGTGTGGGGCCCTGCCATCACCAAATTTGATTATTTAATCCACTTTCGTCCATGGAGCTTGGGGGATAATTGTCTCCAGGGGATCTAATCTGTATGAGAACTTGATGGCTTTTTTCGCTAGCAAGTCACAGGGTAGGAAACAACAATAGGCCTGAGCTGATGGTGAAGAATCTTTATATTGGCTGTATCAAGATACCTGTGAACATAACCAAATATACAATTGATACTAGGTAATTATCAGGATTTACAGTCCATAAGCAGCAAATACCTGTGTTACACTAACACACTCTTTAGCATGCGGACATCTGATGCTAGTTTGCTTTGATGCCTTATATGTTTTTCTTGTACCTTGCTCAGGCACCGAAGCATGAAAAGGTGAAAGGCCGCTGCTATCTTCATCGCTGCCTTGGTCCAAACACATTTCACATCAAGGTTCAAGGATCAGAATGGACAGACTGCCCCGCTGGAGAGTGGATAAATGTAATTTTATTTTTACCTTTGAATATAACTACATTCAACTGAATACTAAAGCCAGCCACACACCCATCACTGTTTTCTTGTTTCAGTGAATACAGTTTAGGTGGAATTGGCTAAGCATACTGTATTCATTTAGCAAATGAAAAAGCTGTAATTGAATGCTGTGACATTGAGCTGTGTGGTCCTGCCATGGCACAAATATGTGCTTTTCCTGCCAGTGTGAAAGGGACAAGGGTTCCACCACTGAGCTACACATTACCACATTTCTCATTCGTGTTGGAAACTCTGGAATGTTGCATGTAGCTTTGTCAGCAAAGTAATCAGAAGGCATGCTCATCCGACAGCACAGCGGCAGGTTCGTTTGCAAACATGTAGATATATTTATCTTTTAAACACTTGGGGGTCTATTTAAACATAATTTCACATAAGATTTATGCAGCATTCACCCGAGATTGACACATTTTTCTACTTGGATTCAATTGGATATATGTGTGAATCTTGAGTGAAAGTTGTGTGAAAACATTTATAAATGGACCCCTTTGTGTTCAAATTCAAACTGCACCAAAACTGGTAATTGCTTTGAAAAGAGCTGAGAAGAGTTAGAGTGGGGGTCAGCAACAGGTCAATCATGGCCATGTGATAGGCAGATTGCAACTATACCCACTGACTCTCGGACCGCTAAGCAGAGCCGAGGGAATTCCTAGGCTCCTCCTTGGCTCTGATGCCAAGGGGAGACCTAGGAGGACTTCACTCTGTTGAGCGCTGCTGCATCGAATGTCTGTTATGTTTAGTTTCACAAAGGGAAGGGGGAATTTGTGCTCTGGTACTGATCCCTGCACTCTGTGTTACTCACCCGTGACCCCTGAACTCTGCATTGCTTATTGCTGCCCCTGTATTATTTACAACTAACCTCTGCATTAATTATTACTAACCCTTGCGCTCTTAGTTACTTATTACCGACCCCTGCACGGTATGTTACTTACTCAAGACCTCTGATACTTACTCCTATGCCATGCACTCTGCATTACTACTGCTCCTTGAACTCTGTTACTCACCCCTGTCCTCTGCACTCTGCGTTACTTACTAATGACCTCTGCATACAAACATTCTATATATCTATTATATATCTATTAT